TCTCATACAAACTTTCATCCCCTATTTTACCCCCTTGGGGGTGGAAATTATCAAAATCCTTTCACAGCGGATTACTACGTCATAACATCTATCTGCATGCCAAATTTCAACCCGATCGGTTTAAAACTGACAAAGTCCTATACAAACTTTCATCCCCTATTTTACCCCCTTGGGGGTGGAAATTATCAAAATCCTTTCACAGCAAATTACTACGTCATAACATTTATCTGCATGCCAAATTTCAACCCGATCGGTTTAAAACTGACAAAGTCCTATACAAACTTTCATCCCCATATTTTACCCCCTTGGGGGTGGAAATTATCAAAATCCTTTCACAGCGGATGCCTACGTCATAACATCTATCTGCATGCCAAATTTCAACCCGATCGGTTTAAAACTGACAAAGTTTCATACAAACTTTCATCCCCTATTTTACCCCCTTGGGGGTGGAAATTATCAAAATCCTTTCACAGCGGATGCCTACGTCATAACATCTATCTGTATTCCAAATTTTAGCCCAATCTATCCAGCGGTTTGGGCTGTGCGTTGATAGATCACTATGTCAGTCAGTCAGTCAGTCAATCACCTTTGAATTTTATATATATAGATAATGTGTTTGTTTGTATGTTTGTGTTTGTTGTTTCATTTCTCTAAAATTACTGTATGAATTTGGATAGAATTTTGTAATGAGATATTTCATCCTGAAAAAAATTTTGTTCTTATGTAACGTTAGCTCTATACCAGTGCAGAAACTGTTGTAGATTAGACGAAAGTAATGATTTTTCCATAGATTCATATTTTACTGCGTAAGCAAAGTCATATGTAACAGCTAGTATAGTAAAAATCTGTCAGTCTGTATGACTGATTATATCAGTTCCTTGTATTCTAGTTTTTATCATTTTTTTTTCTTTAAATAAATATTAAAAGTGGATTCCGAAAAGTTATGTCATTTGTGTATGACTAAGGACGATTTGAAGTTACGTGACTATACGATATAGTTTAAATATTATATATAGTTATATTATATATAGTTTCATTGATAGGTAGCTTCTTACGAAGAATTTACATAAAACATTTTTTTATGGCATAAGCCGGTAAACGAGCAGACGGATCACCTGATAGTAAGCAATCGGCGTCGCCCATGGACACCTGGAACACCAGAGGCGTTACAAGTGCGTTACCGGCCTTTTGGGGATTAGGAGTTTGAGAATCGTTGGGGATTAAGGAATTGTTCTGTAATTTGGAATTACAAAATCGTATTTTTTTTTAATTTTTACAATCAAACTGAATATAGTGTTTTTAAATCATTCGTAAGTATTCTGCCAATTGTTTTCTTGAATAAGACACATGAAATCAATTCAATGACGTCATAATGAAGAAATTAAAATTCCTAAATGTCAAGTTTCTACGCAATTATTTTACAATAGAGAGATTACTCTACTAAAATTTCTTATTATTTTTAATATAATTTCTTATTAAAAGATTTATCTTTTCATTTTAATTTATTCAAAGTCAAAATCATTTATTTCAATTAGACCAGAATGGCACTTTTGAACGTCAAACTACAAAAATTTATAAGTGTAGATTCCTATGGAGAAGAACGAGCAAGAAACTCCATAGGTTTATAGGTTATTATCACATGGGTCAAACTAAAACTATTAACTTCACAAGATATAACTACAGATGGCTACATATCAAGCTATACAAAACCAGTATAAACTAAACCGTCGAACGTGTGGGAAGTTCATACAAAATGGGACAATGATATACTGGTTATATCCTGGTTCTTTGTCTTTGGAGAAAAGTTTCTCAAGAGATTAAAAGATTGGTCGAAAATAAAATTACATTTTTGTTCCACGTATAAAGAACTACGCAAGCATTTGCGTCAAATTTTGCATTGCACAATTCATATTAATTAATGCGAATCAGAAAAAAAACCTCGTAAAACCCCAGTAGTAAGAATATAACTAAATAATTATATCCAATGCAGTAACTAGATAAAAATGCGAAGAAAAAATTTATAGATATTAACTTTGGTGAAGTTGTAGAACAGTTTTTAATCTCCAGGGGATAAGCAGAAATGCGAAAATTTATAGTATCATCCCTTTTCACCGAATACTTATGTTAAAATTGTCTAACGGCCATTTTCTATAATCTATCTATCTATAGATTTGCTTACTGAGATAGAAGCTCCATACAAAATGTGTCAAAATTATATCTCAGTAAGTAAATCTACAGATAGATAGGTTATAATTTTTTTTTACACATTTTCAGGCATCATTTCATAAATCGAAAACTCATCACCACTTTACCTGACCCAAGAATCACACCGAAGACCCCCACTAATCAGCAATCAAACTAACTTACTACTATTGAAATATGTATCAGAGACATTGTAGAACATACTTTTTTAAAAAGAGTAACGAACGGAATTTCTTGCTCGTTCTTCTCCATTCGAATCTACATTTTGGAATGAGCACCTAGCTTCACCTAGTTTCACTGACGGACTGACTGACAGACTATTATTTATTTTGTATTTGTTGACGTTTCAAAAGTACCAAACTATGGTTTAATTGAAATAAATGCTTTGACTTTGACTTTGACTTTACAACCACTTAACTACGACGCACATAATCTAAAAAAAAAAAAACAAAAATTAAAACCTTCTAATCCGTAGATCAATTTGAGAACAACCTCTTTTGTCTATGAAATCCGGGCATTGACACCATCCGGGCTGACGTGACTACATTGGTGTTTCACTTGTCAACTACTTTGCAGGTAGTGTCGTGCTCCTAATATGACGTAACATTGAGAACCCATGTTGGCAGGGACGGAGTAGGTGGGGGTCGGGCCCCGAGATGCAAAGGGCCCTTAAACATTTAACATTTATATTTGAAAACGCCAGGGTACCTACCTACTCTTGAAACCAATCTCAATGTCAATGCAATTTCAATCCAATAAAATCTCAAATACATTTAAATATTTTATTGAAATGAAAAGGCATTAGCCTTTACTTGCAATCGAAGACTAAAGACGTACTTAGTAGTATGTCGCGCACACATTTCCGGAATACGGTAGTTGAGAGGTAATTAGCAGAATTTTATTTAAATCTTTTTAAACATGGAAACTCATTACAACTTAAAAAATAAAATAAAATCTCAATAATTATTCAATATCAAAACTATACAGCCCATCGCAGCTGTTAAAATAGTATTCAGAGTACGGAATATAAAGCCAAACTCAACTTAGTTCATTAAATATCCACGCAATACGGATGCAATGGGCAACTCACTCAACTAGTGTTGCAACTCAAGAGTACGAAATTTTACAATACCAAATGTCGATCGATCGGAATTGGATTCAAGAGTAAGCCAACAGGGGAGTAAGCCCCCTGGACAAACCAACCGTTAATGTAAACAAACTGGCACACACTCAAGTACAGAAGACGCTCTTCAGCATACCCGGTTAAAAAGAAATGACATACCAAGATTACATAAAAGATTTACCACTTAACATCTAGAGAGTCGTGAGGAAAACACAAACTGCAAAATCAAACACAAAAAGTGTTAAAAAACAAATTGCCATAAAGTAGAAACATCAAAAAAAACTAAAATAACACTAGACTTAAATAAACATAGGTACAAAGATTAATTTCTGCTAGACTTCAGGTAATACAGACAGCGTAATCATCATCATACCAGCCACAAGGCTTGCATTGCTGAAAATATGCCTACCCTAATGATTTACAAACCGATCGGTTAGAAAAGATAACCAAAATCAAACATTTCGATACATAATATTAACTTTTAACTTTTAAGTGTGGGAGAGCCATGCTTCAGCACGAATGGGCCGGCTCGACCGGAGTAATACCACGGCCTCACAGAAAACCAACGTGAAGCAACGCTCGCGTTGTGTTTCGTCGTGTGAGTGAGGTTACCGGAGGCCCAATTACCCTTCTCTTCCCCAATCATCCCAATTCCCAACGATCCTCAAACTCCTAATCCTCAAAAGGCCGGTAACACACTTGTAACGCCTCTAGTGTTCCAGGTGTCCATGGGCGACGCCGATTGCTTACCATCAGGTGACCCGTCAGCTCGTTTACCGGCTTATGCCATAAAAAAAATTAATAACAAAATGAAATTTACGATTCAACCACGGGGCATGTAATCTATAGTCTAAATTAGCTTGTCTAGAAGTTAATTTTAACATTATCTACAAAGCACAAAATACCTATAATAGTCAAGAATACTAAAAATAAAAAGGTTATAATGTCGAAAGAAACATATGTTACGGATGATTTAGGTCACTATGTGTCTAAATAGGCTAATAAAATATAAAATTACCATTAAGATAGGTACTAAGATATGACATATTCCTATATGGTGATACACACCATGCAGGAATCTGTACGGGAATCCCGTCATCCCAGTTTTTTCCCAGTAACCAACAGTAATTAAATCCATTAGGTTAGATTTTTATCGCAACTCCAGAGTTCTCTTGTAACTATGAGGAAAAAGAGAAAAAACCCTTTCTCCCTAATTAAAAATTAAGGATAATGATAGCCAATTAATGATGAAATTAAATTAGATCTTTCATAATCATGCTATAAGTAATAATAATTAAGATTGACGCACGACTACATAGAAGATATAGAAGTATCTACCTAAATGTCATAAAAATAAAAATAATTATTTCATGAATACAAATAAATTATTACATCAAAAAATAAAATAAAAACACAACAGAATCGAATCATAAAATAAAATACGAAACAAATAAATGTAACACTATGACATTTTAAAAATGCAATTCTAAAATCAAACTTCAAAAATAAATTAAACGTAAATGTTACGAAAAAAGTCTATTGTTAATACGTAAAATACATTATAAGTGCCTACTTACTGAATGTAGAGAGAAAATCCTTCTACGAAAGCAGAGCTGATACCGCAGACTATTATCTCTTAGATGCCCGTTCTATATATAAAGGGTGGCGAAAAGGAATTGTCCATACTCCTATCACAACTCGCAAACAGACAAGAGCTCAAGAAAATTTTGTATTTTTATATTTAATCGTGTGTATTGTGAGAACGAGATTAATAAGGTTAGTGGATTTTACGATTAATTCCTTTTTTTTATTTTGTGATCCATTTTTTGTGTTTAATTTTTATTTATCGTTTTGTCGTAAAAAAAATTTGTTGTTTTTTTTTGGGATTAGCACAGTGATAAAGTTACGTTTACATTTTCCTTCGTTAAAATATAAATTAAAATAAAATATTCTTTAAATAAAGATTACGCACGTAGAATTTCCACAACATTATTTTATCGAAAAAATTAAAACTTCAATAGAAAATCTAGCAACTAATTTCCAGTATGACACACTCGTTCACTTTCCGTGTTTTTATGAAATAAAAATAAATTTTATGTTACAAAAATCCAATGTCACATATTATTTAATAAAATCGTTTGTAATATCGTAACACGCGCCGTCGATAAGGTACATAGTGCTTACAACTGGCATGGACCTGTGGCTACTAAATTATGACTAACTAGGTACTTGAAGACATACTGGTTCACTGGGCCTCTGTGACTAAAGGCGATTTAAATCTAGAACACAGTGCAATAATTCGAATGTCGAATTTTTTTATGATTAATTTTTTGTAACAAGTTTATTTTTTAATTTAACTTGAGATTTATTTTTATTTCGTAATTTATTTTATGATATTTATTGAATTTATTATTGTTCTAACAGAACTATTATAATCAAACTAAATTCTGTCGTTATTCTATATCGAATAATTGGTTACAAAAAATAACGATTATACCTACGATTCTTTATTATTTTATTTTCATACTTATGTGTACTTCTATCTATCCTCTTGAACGATAAAAATCTTGATATTAATACCTAAATAAAATAATTTTATGATTAGGTAAATTACACGCTTTCATTAACAATTTCATTATGAAACTAGAAATATGAGATATATTGACATAATATTTGATAGACAGACATTTGATATCGGATACAATTCAATAAGTATTACAGAATTACTAAATATTGCTTAATTGCAATCATAGGCTTATTGTTTATAGATATGAAAGTGCTGGTTTCATAGAAAATGTATGTACTTTCTTACTTTCATAGTAACATAGAAATGTACTATGTATTTATGTAATTTTAATTTTGTAGGTACAGGCCAATTATAAGTACATCGACTATATTTCAAGCCATTCTAGAGTCTAATACTTATTTATACGTAAAATAAAATGTAGGGATTAATTACTGATTGCCCCGTTGGCTAAGTGGTCGCAAGCGCGACTGCCGATCAAAGTGTCTCAAGTTCAATTCCCAGTTTAAGGCAAATTTAGAAAAAAAATCTTTTCTTAATTTTATTTAATTTTTCGTTTGAATTAGTATTCAGTGCATGGGGTTATAACAAACCACCTTTTACATGAAACTCATAACATAAAGGGTGAAAAGTAGATGTTATATTCATTATATGCTAAATCAAACCTTCAATGATTCATCATCATCATCACCAACAGCTGGAACACATCCACAGCTGGACAAAGGCCTCCCCCTTAATCCTCAACGCCGAACGACAACGATTATTTTTTCCATCTTACTTTAGCATCTCTGCCTATCCCTTAAAACAGTTATAATACATAACATAACATCACGCTTTTTATCCCCGAAGGGGTAGGCAGAGGTGCACATTATGCCACTGCACAATGTAACACCCACTTTTCACTATCGGGTCCCATGTAATAGGGGGTAAGCCTATAGCCATATAGGTACCGGGCACAATTCCAAACTCCGAGCTATTACTGAGAATTTTTTTTAAACCCAGTAATACTTTGCCCGACCCGGGAATCGAACCCGAGACCCCTTACCCGGCAGTCGCACTTGCGACCACTCGGCCAACGAGGCAGTGACTTATAATAATTTATCATAATACTCTTATTTAATATACATGTTAATCTTATCTCCGATACGTTATCTACCAGACAACCTCTGGATATACTATTTAAATATAAGGGGTCGAACCGACATACAAACGAAATAAATAAATCATTGCGTTCATTCATAAGTGTTATCCGGAAATTACTGGACAGAATTTGATCAAAGTCACACTACATAACAAGATGCATAGATATACATATCTACTATATAAAAATAAGTCGGGTTTTCCTTCCTGACGCTGTAACTCCAGAACGCACAAACCGATGTCCACGGTTTTGCATTCGTTTCAAAGGTCTCGGGCGCCGTGAGGTTTACAAAATAAAAACAAAAAAAATCTTCATCTTTTAATCACTAAACGAAATGTTACATAAAACGTGTTCGTGGGATTTGCTAGTTTACTATATAAATTTCATTATGCGAAAAAACGGGTTTTCGCGTTTTTCATAATATCATACATATTAGTTGTCCCAGGACTGCCTCGTTGCCGAGTGGTCGCAAATGCGACTGCCGGGCAAGGGTTCTAGGGTTCGATTTCCAGGTCCGGCAAAGTATTACTGGGTTTTTAAAAACCTCAGTAGTAGCACGGAGTCTGGAAATGTGCCCGGTATATGGCAATAGGCTCACCCCCTATTACATGGGACTCATAACATAAATAGTGAAAACTGGGTGTTACATTGTACAGTTGCATTAAGTGCCGAAATGTGCACCTCTGACTACCCCTTCAGGGATAAAAAGGCGTAATGTTATGTTATGTTATGTTAGTTGTCCCAGGAATCGAAACCGAAACTTGTCTTGCTCGGTAGTTGCCACAAGAAAAAAAGAATCAATTCGCAAAAATTTTAAAATAATTATTTTTGTTTATAAACTAAGTTCCGATATTAACCTTCTTTTTTAAAGTCGGTTAATAAATATACCAAAATCTTGTAAGTGTAAAACACAGTTGGTGTGCATGACTGCACGGTTGGTGCGGTGGCTGGACAACCGGCTGCCGTGCAACGTGTCGCGGGTTCGATTCCCGCACGGAACAACACTTTGTGTGATCTACAAATTGTTGTCCAAATTGTTGACACAAAGAGTTGTTCCGTGCGAGAATAGAACCCGCGACACGTTGTGCTGCAGCTAGTTGCCCAACCACAGCGCCAACCGTACAGTCGACAATTTTTCTATTCAGTGCCTTTAGCCAAACGCCACTTTAGCGCTTGTCTACAGAGAGAGTAGAAAACTAAATGTATGGGGATGACACTGATAAGTGTCAAAATCTACGTCCATTCCATATAATTTGGTTTTCTATTCTACATGTAGACAAGCGCTAATGGCGTTTGGCTACAGTTGCTGAAATCTTTTCTCGGAATCTTTTTTTCTTCGAATACATAGATAGTTATAAATTTAAATTAAATATCATTGTAGTCATCGTCCCTGAAAATATTTCAGTTGTGACGTAAACCATCATTTTCCGACGTTGACTCAACATTTGTGTGAAAATATTTTTCATATTTATCATCTTAAATCCCACATAGAATCGTTCGGAGAGAAAAGTGACTAACATTGGAATATGTAGGTAGATACATTATCATCTTATCACACAGCCCATAACTGCCCACTGCTGAGCAAAGCCTCTTCTCACACGGAGGTTTGAGCATTAATCACCACGCTTGCTCAATACGGGTTGGTGATTTCAAACTTATAATTAAAAATTGTAAGTCTTGGTTGCCTCACGATGTTTTCCTTCACCATTTGTCAGTGGTGTCTAATTAATCTTAGAAATTAGGTACGTATACCTCGAAAAATGTCATATTGGTACTTGCCGTTGGTAGGTTTCGAACCTGCGCCCTCATGTTTGAAAACTGACATATCACTATTAGTTGAAAATGGGCTGATGCCGATACGGAGTCGCGGAGGACTTAACGGGTTACCGGGGCTCCGACTCGAAGAGCAGAAGTAGGAACGGGGTGGTTTTTAGTTAGTAAGAGTCTGACACTCACTCCCGCCACACCCAGGCGGGAGAAGTCATTGGAAGGCTTTCCCCCCTCAAAAAAGGAAGCTATTTTTAGACATATAAAATATGTAGACTTTATTAATATCACCCTTTTTCACGTAGTAAAAGTATTAACAATACAAAATTCCTTCTTTAATGTTTCATTTCTATAATATCTTATAACTTTGAGGTAACAATGAAGAAAGCTATTTTCGCATTTCGGATCCTTTTTATTAGCTTTTTATTATAGAAACTCACTTTAGATTAAATATATATACATACATACGCAACTTCACGCCTGTCTGCCATGGAGGTAGGCAGAGAATATGGAACGCCAATTGCTACGATTCCCACCTCTTTCGCTTCATCAACAGTCATCAATCTTTTCATGCAAGCTCAATCAATATATCAAAGTATTGTAAAAATGGCGTGCTCTTGTATCGTATTTAGTGTCACTGAATCAATGAAACATTGTAATGACATGGGACGTCTAAATTCCAGAATACATTAATTTGAAAACAACGAGGTCGAAAATCCGACTGACATTTCATTTGAGGCCTTATATTCGACGCTTCCATTTCCACATAATGGACCTTAATAATACAAATTAAATAGAAGAAATATTCAAATCTTTCCTCTACAATAATTGTTCTACATACTAGAAATTTAAGCTTAGGATACACTCCGGGAAAAATATCCCAAGACATGATTGTATCAATGACATGCCAGCCGATGTCGCCTGACATAATATACGGTGACAACGCGCAACTGATGTCCACAGTGTCTTTGATGTTGCCAGATAACATAACATAACATCACGCCTTTTTAACCCTGAAGGGGTAGGCAGAGGAGCACATTACGGCACTTAATGCCACTGTACAATGTAACACCCACTTTTCACTATACATATTATGAGTCCCATGTAATAGGGGGTAAGCTTATTGCCCTATACTGGGCACGATTCCAGGCTCCGTGCTACTACTGAGATTTTCTTTAAAAAGTCCAGTAATACTTTGCCCGCAATACTCGCACTTGCGACCACTCGGCCAACGAGGCAGTCGTTGCTAGATATGTCAACCAAAGTACGGCAACATCGCGCTCCTTCACCCGACGTCGCTGGCTACACGTGTCGCAGGATATTTATCCCCTAGTGTACCCTTGGCTTTATACATCTCAAATACTCAATGAATACATACGTCATCACATAACTCCTGAATGAAGCCCAAATTACACTCAATTGAACTCAGTGAACGTCAGTGAATGAATTACAGTATACTATAGTATATGACATAGTATGTATGAATCACTCATCATTCATATATTTGGGCGTGTGATAAATTTATTTAGATAGATATAGAGTATTATGTTAATATCGTACATCTGAAAAGTTATCAAATCAATCGTTTCGTGTATAATATTATTTTGTTTTTTAAAACAAAAATATCAAAGAACTTCCATTTCAATAATAGTGACCACCATATTGCAGATTACTCATTGAAAATAAGGTATTCTTATCGCAAAATTCACTAATGTGTCTGTTCTCACATTAATCTAATAATTAATTTATTAATTTGACAAATAATGTTATTTTAACTTCAATATTCAACATTTTAAAATTAGACAAACAAATTCTATTTAAATTATAAAAACTATAACATGGGACTCATAACATAAATAGTGAAAAGTGAGTGTTACATTGCACAGTGGTATAACGTGCACCTCTGCCTAACCCTTCGGGGATAAAAGGCGTGATATTATGTATGTATAAAATTAAGAAAGTAGGTACCTAGGGACATAAATTCTAATTTTCATATATCAGTTCCAATTTTCAGATAAGCAAATCAAACTATTTTAGTTAACACACGTGGTAACGAAAATAAATCCAATCAGTGAAATGTCACAAGATTCGTTGATGATAAAAACAATTCTGTGAATTCCTATCTACACAACATACCTACTCAAAATATTAATATGATCGTGCCTTGGTCCCCAAGGAATCAACTCGACGAATCTAAAATAAATATCGGAGATAACTGTGCGTCCCACACTATGTCCCGTTTAATACTTTTTATGGAATAAGCCGGTAAACGAGCTGACGGATCACCTGATGGTAAGCAATTGGCGCCGCCCATGGACACCTGAAACACCAGATGAGTTAGATACACACCTGGCGTTGTTGGATTGGAGATGGGGGTGTCCAGTAACATCACTCACTACCGAAACACATCGCAAGCGTTGTTTCACGTCGGTTTTCTGCTCGGCCGTAGTATAACTCCGGTTGAGCCGGCCCATTCGTATCGAAACATGGTTCTCCCATGAGTATACTATTTTGTAATACAGTTAATTTAGTTTGTTGTCAGTTTTTCGATCTCAAAATTCTCATTATTTGTATTGAGTTTGTAAATGGATTTTGAAAATAGGTTTCTTGTTGTTATGCGACTTATGACTATGATTAGTAGAATGTTTCTGTGATATAAATAGACATTCATATGTCCCTTTGGAGGTTGCAAATTGTATTAAACCATACTTTGATGTTGACTCGGGAATTAAAGGAAAATGTATTTTATAGAACATTTTGTATACTGAAAACATGATTAATGGATACTGACTCATTGGTTGAGTACTAGCCAGTGCGACTGTCGAAATAGGGGTCTCGAGTTCGTTTTTTTGAAGTCTTATTTTATGCACTTCTTTCGGTGTCGCGAAAATTTCCTGGGTATGGAATAATGTCCAACAAACGGCAGTAAAACCAGACCATATTACATGGGACTCATAAATAACTTGGAAAATTTGAGTTACATTGAATATGAGCCCCTCTGCCTATCCCTGTAAATAAGTATACTTCAATCCAAAGTTCTATTATCTCTATGAGAAATCAGAGAGGCCGTTCATCCACGACTAGTCGACATATGTTTCGAATATAGTCCATGACGAACATAGGAAGACTAGTTATGTACCTATTCCAATTATTGTAATCAGCTGCGTCTATCTAGATTCTAGATAGATTGGAAACTGAACTATGAGATGAATGATTGAGAGAACTATAGAGACAGAAGTTCAAATTCTGTGTCAGTATAAGATTTTTCGAAACTTTCGACTTTTAAGTTTTTTTGTCATCAAAATGGAGTTTGGATTTGTAATCGATGTTGCGCATAAGGTCCTTTAGTTAAAATGTAAACGAAACGTAGTTGTGTCGCTCATCTCTGAGTTACCACTTTTGATTTTAATGTTAAGTAAGATAACACAAACCTAATAAGAAAATATTGTTTTTATTTACAAAATAATTATCTTTTTTTCAGGCTGTAATCAAATACTCAACTAGCGACATCTTTTATCGGATAGCAACAATGATGAACTCACTTTCGCTACTCGCCGCTGTCTTCGTGTCGCTACTGTGCACTTTCGCGAGCGCCCATGTCGCGGACAGTAGAAAAGGATTAGATAACAATATACAACCTAATGGTAAGTTTTATTTGGTTTAATGTTTTACTATTTAGTTGCTCTGTGTAGTACCTAACTTCATATGACTGTAATTTCAAGAATATTTAATAATATATATTTTCGTCAAATGTTCCTAATTCACAGACAATAGTTTACAAAACCTATCTACTCTGGAAAATGATAGATTATATAAAAAGATTTGAAGCATTATTTTTGCAAAAAATAATGTACATATACGTACATCGTACACTGAAATTAAAATCACTTCTACCCAAAAAACATCTAAATTCAGACTTACGTACCCTCTACCCACATTATTAAATATAATGGTGACTGAATCATAGTACACGCCCAAAAATACGGGTCAAGATATTATTTTTCATCAAAAATGGCGCCTAAATGAAATCATCGCCATTTTCAGATTGATTTCGTATTGAAATATTCAGCTTCTGTTGACTTTCATGATTTCCCTGTCGCCATTGGGACTTAAGACCTTTTGGTAACGATCCAATGTGACTGGTTCATATTTAAAATGGCAATCTTAATGGGGCTTTGTTAAATGAATAAATGAACTCGTAAATAAATTGTGAACTATTCGTATAATCGTAAAAGTATAAATTCCAACTACAGGATCTCTGATTAAATTTTTGTAAACAGAACTGACTGGAATTTTAGTGTATTTTCTGTATGAAATAAGCTCAAATACGTGTCAGTTAAGATTATCGCAATTTAATCAGATATTGAGTTGTTGAAAAATAAAAAAATAAACATTTTTTCGGTCTTCACTTTTCGTGTAACAAAACCCCTAATTTCATAAACTATATATATAAAAGAAAGTCGTGTTAGTTACACTATTTATAACTCAAGAACGACTAAATCGATTGGGATGAAAATTGGCGGGGTGGTAGCTTAGAACCAGGAGACGGACATAGGATACTTTTTATTTAAATTTTTTTTTTTTACTTTTACCGAAAATCACGAACGGGAACGGGGGGAAATGGGATTGCGCGTACGAAGTCGCGGGCAGAAGCTAGTAAATTTATAAAAATTAGGTACTTAAAGTACAACCATACAAGTAATTCACTCCATACTAACAAAAAAATCTCAATAAAAAACCAATATCGAAAAAAATATTCATCAACACACATAAAAATCTAAGAAAAAATCATGCTAACATGAAAAAAAAACTGTTTTATTCAAAACTGGTCAAGATCTACATACATAGGTACAATCTCAATGTATTCTTTGAAATAATTAATTTTACTTTATAATTCTCTAGTGTGGATGGAGACGGCGTTGATTTACAATTCAATATGTTACTGTTCGAACCGTACACTATAAAACTGTAGTATAACTATGTATATCTACATCTTATTGGAACATTATTCCTTATAATATAAAATTTGAATGTAAAATTCTTCCGTCTGCCCCAAAATTTGACATGCATATTTTAGAACCCATTCGTTTTATGGTACATTATCCCCTTTTAGCGTTTTTTAAGACAATGATATAGATTTTAATAGTAAAACGAAATGTTGTTTTAATAATAAGCTAATTTATAAATGTAGCAATGTCAGGTACTAATTGTGAGTCTTATTAAATAAGTTTATTACGGAACAAATAAGCTACGCCCCTATGTTACATTGTTACGTTGTCTCGCTTCTCTGTCTCCTGTATGAAAACTGCCTGTAATATGCTGACATGTAATATGATATCACTGAATAACCTACTCTGAGCAAAGTAAGTCGGGCAAAGTACTACTGGGTATTTTATAAATTCTCAGTAGTAGCACGGAGTCTGGAATTGTGCCCGGTATATAAAAATAGGATCACCTCCTATTACATGAGACTCATAACATAAATAGCGAAAAGTGGGTGTTACATTGTACAGTGGCATAATGTGCACCTACCCCTTCCGGTGATCTTATGAATAACCTGCTTAAGAATTCATTATTCTTATTGAGCCCTTCTCACCGCCAAACTCTTGGATTCCAACAGCCACACCCAAGAGGAAACACTTAAGGGATATGGTGCGCATCAGGAACGCTCCTCCAGAGACTGTGCAGCTAGAACCTGGTTCGCGACTGGTGCTGCAGTGTGAAGTCTTAGGGAAACCAGCGCCGAGTGTGCAGTGGCTGAAAAATGGAGAACCTGTCATGGATGTAAGTATTAAATGACGTTTTTATGATTATTTCACTTGACAACCTTTAAATGACGTTTTTATGATCATTTCACTTGACTACCTCATTAATTAAGTTCTTACTTGTGCTATTACCGATTTAGGGGTTTTGGGGGTAGTAGAACAAAGCCTAAAATTGTGGCGTGTAAGATATTAGTACGCCCATTACAATTTTATAACTTAAACGATAAAAGCTGAGTGCTATATTTGATACATCTTAGGCTTCGAGAAAACAAGGGAAATAAAAAACATCAGCGCGCTTATTAAACTATGTGAAGTGTTTTATAAGTACTTCCTATTTTCAGTACGAAGTGGAAAGCAACGACATTCTCCCCGCTCATCCGTCAAGCCTTGCGCTCCTCACCAGCAAACTCGTAGTGAGGTCATCAGCCAACGGTGACGTGTACACGTGTGTGGCGACCTCTGCACTCAACCAAAAAACTGCTTCCACTACCGTTTTGACTGTTGAAGGTAATTATAGTCAAAATATTAAATTTTGTAAGATTTTTACTAACCAACGCCATCTAGTTTGGATGCATATTACTTAAAGTTCTGCTACTCGACAACAGATGGCGCTGTACTAAATATCATTTTCTTTTTATCCGTTTCTTTCTTGTTTAATTTTAGTAATAAGTAAAATAATAGTTACTAATATAATTAGAAACAAAATTAATCATTGATATCTTTTTTTTTACAGGAAATGATGAAGAAAACCTACTAATCTTAGAGAAATTATTCCGTATGCCTACTAAGCCAGTGATCACCACTTTTTACACGAATATCTTGCAAGACATTGGCTCTGAGCTGATCCTGCCCTGTCGAGTGGATAGCAACAGCGAGTCCCAGGTCTTTTGGCACCAGAACAACGAACTTATCTTTGATAACCCCAGGATGCGGGTAAGATTACTTGTACTCTCTAACTGAACAGGTTTAAGTCAAAACAAAATAAATCAATGCAAAATTTAATTTTCAACCCACATTTCTATATAAAATTATTGAAAATTCCACGGAAATCGAAAAAAGCGTTATCAAAATTTAAACTTACTTTTCCCTCAACACAACATAGATGGCGTTACTAGTCCTTGCACAATGTTTATTTCTACTTATTTCTTGAACAGGTGCTGCCCTCTGGTGACTTAGTAATCTCTCCATTGCTGTGGTCTGATATGGGTAACTTCTCGTGCATAGCAAAGAATGCGTACGGTAAAGATACTGTAGACACTTTCGTTTACCCTCTGAAGCCGTCCAAAGCATAAATGGTGAGTATCATTCAGTAGTAATTTTCTGTAGACATATAAAAATCACGTCGTGTATTTCTGAAAGGGGAAATAGAAAAAGATTTCAATAGGTACTTATCGAACCAGGGCAAAGAAATTTCTACAATTTCAGATAGATTTGTCTAGATTTCCATTTAAATATTCCAAAAAAGCGAAAAATACAGTAACACTGTCATCAAGAGACATTGAAGAAAAAAGATTTTAGTGATCTTTTCAACGTTACAACCTATATATAGATAACTTAAGAGTTAAAGTGGGTACCTATTACCTATGTATTAACTTTACAGTCTTACCTACTATTTATACCAAGTAACTTTAACTAATAAATACATTTTTCTTTATTCCAGCGCCTACCCCCAACCAGTTTGACCAGAAACGTTACCCGCCGATTTAATCTCGATGTTCCTATTATTAAGTGACGTTTAAGCTTAACTTAACTTATTATTAGCCCCTAAGTTACAATGTATACAACAAAGTAATATAAGTACTTAATATATTTAAAAAAATATTATTTAATAAGTTTATAGGACATTCAGCCGTACACAAATGTTGATAAAAACGAAATAATAAGTACCAAACTGACTGAGATTCCATTTTTAAAATTGACATTAACACGTTCGAGGACGCTACCACTTGAGTCGGGTTTTCAAAATGACACAGTACATGTCTATACAAAATTATACGACGTATCAGTACGTATTGTCCCATGAAGAAATATCGTTTTAAACATATCATGACACAATCGTTTTATCACGTCAACGTGTATATGCATCTAGGTAAGGATCCGCCTCGTTGGAGATGTCGGAATCATCAAACATGCTTATCTTGTGTCTTATTTTGCGCTTATATCCATCTAAAACACACAATAACCCATTAAACATCAATTTCACACTGTAAAATCATTAATTTGCATTAAAGTAATGTACACAGTGACACAGCCGCGCTGAATGTAGGAGCGCGGGACGTATAAACACGTTGTGCGTATGTGAATACCGTAACCGCACACTATCAACGACACTTATTTTAAATAGTTCTAAACTTACCCTACGTGACAGTACAGAGTTGGGTATTTTATATGTTGTGACACAAGATACATTTAAAAGGATTTTTACTTGAACTTTCATCGGAAATGAACGTTCTGCCGTATAATTTAAATGTTATTTGAACGTCATCGTACGTTGTGCGATATTAAAATCTCGAACGATGACGTATAATCTCGTTCTGTCCTCGAACGTGTTAATTTTAAAAATAAAATAAGATTCAATTTTGTCATTGAATATCTAATAATTAAATAAATCGTGGTCGAGAGACTTATATTCCAATTGTCAGATTCAAAAATCAATTTATAATTTTATTTCATGAATTTAATTTATTTACGTCTGAATTGATGCGACTGGATTTTTAATAATAATTTAATCGAGTTTAAGTTATTCCCTTACTATTATTTTGTGATTTTATTTTATAAGAGATTTATTTTGTAAATAAATACATACATTATGACATTACCTACTATTAGTTGTATTGTACAGTTGGATAAATCAGCCATTTTAATATAATATTGTCAGTTTTATAAACAATTTAAGTAATTCACGCAATCTCATAATAAGTCTTACATTTCTGTGTAAATTTTGCTTAAAACCAGTGTCTCAATGATTTCGCTGACTGTACTTAGTATAAATTGATGTTAATACATACGATCTCTGTGATTTTTGAAATAAATGTTTTATTATTACACGTTTTATGTGTTTTCTATTTTTTGGTAACCTAGCTAGCTGCCTCGTTTGCCGAGTACCGCGATTACCGGGTAAGGGGTCTCGGGTTCGATTCCCGGGTAGAGCAAGGTATTATTGGATTTTAACTCGTCGAGTACCGTATTTATAGACACAATTAAAGAACAATAGGTTGCGGTCACCGGTGACCGCTTGGTGTTTGACAGTTTAAAAAACTTCTCAGTAGTATCACGGAGTCTGGAATTGTTCCCAGTATATGGCAATAGACTCACACCCTATTACATGGGACTCATAACATAAATAGTGAAAAGTAGGTGTTACATTGCACAGTGGTATAATGTGCACCTCTGCCTACCCCTTCGGGGATAAAAGCCGTTATACTATGTTATGTTATGTTACGTTCAAGACCAAAACTAGTCAAATCGGTTCAGTCGTTCTCGAGTTTTAGCGAGACTAACGAACGGACATTCATTTTTATTAAGAAGACTAACTTTTACCCGCGGCTTCGCTCGCGTCACAAAAGGATAAAAATAGCCTATATGACATATCAATACACACAGCGCCATCTATACCAATAATTTCGTTTTACCTCGAGAATATCAATTTTCCGGGATAAAAAGTACCCTATTATTTAATCCAGACTTCTAACTGTACATCTGCAAAAATTCAAAGCAATCGGTTTAGTAGTTACGGCGTGAAAGCGGAACAAACAAACTAACAAACAAACTCACTTTCCGATTTATAATATAAGTAAGGATACTTTGTACTAGGTACTAAACTAGATACACTATGAAGTAACCACAATCGCCCGTTCAAAGGACCGTCACATTAGAAAGGAGATGTGAATTGGTCCACTTACCTTCACGACCTTTGCAGAATAAATGATCGGTTGGAGACCACGTTACTTTATAATGCGTGCGTTATTATAACTAGGATGTCCATTATTGACTTCAATATTTATAAAATAAGGTATTATAATATGAGTAGTTCACAGCGACGTGTTTATTGGGTTTATAAGCCATGACTGCCTCGTTGGCCGAGTGGACTGCCAGGTAAGGGGTCTCGGGTTCGATTCCCGGGTCGGGCAAAGTACTACTGGGTTCTAAAAAAAAAATCTCAGTAGTAGCACGGAGTCTGGAATTGTGCCCGGTATATGGCAATTGGCTCACCCCCTATTACATGGGACTCATAACATAAATAGTGAAAAGTGGGTGTTACATTGTACAGTAGCAGCAGTTGTAAGTGCCGTAATGTACCCCTCTGCCTACCCCTTCGGGGATAAAAGGCGTAATGTTATGTTATGTGATTTGCGCAAAATTTTTATTTAAGTTGTAAATAAATTTGATAACTAAATACACTATGATGTCGCAGAGAACAAATCGACGGTAGGAACGAGGTGGTTTTTAGTCAGTAAGAGTCTGACACTCCCTCCCGCCTCACCCAGGCGGGAGAATCATTCGATGATTTTCCCCCCTTTAAAAAAAGGGTCGATCATCATTGTCCGACACAGCTTCCAATATTAACTCCCAAGTTATTATGTTTTCTATATCCCTAAGAAAGATATAATAATAAATTTTCTTTATTTCTCCTCACATACTCACTTACTTTAGTATTACAATTTTTTTATAATCTATTTTTATTGTGAGGTGCTGGAGTCTGTGTTAGGCATAAAATACCTGTATTACAAATTTCCAGGTCCATATAACAATTAAGAATATGACATCTTACGACTACCATCAAGTGTGAGGTATTTAGCATGCGCGCGCGCATCGTGCAACGGAAGAAAGCCGCGCCCGCACAGCCAAGGTAACGTACTCAGTTATGATCGTGGAGTAATGTGAAGAATGGAGTCGAGTATATTTAAATATTTATGTAAAGAAATTATATTTTCTTTAATAATTATTATTCATATGAGATTTAAGTAATTAAACTTTTTTATGTTACCATAGATAACATTTAGAATCTATGGATTGAGAACTGTCAAAACAAGAGACGTGTTAATTGAATATCTTACGGAATGTAATTATAATAGATAAAAGGGAGAATTTGGAATTTAAATAATAGGCTTAATCGTTGTTTCTTTGATTTACAGGTGAGACGATCATTATTATTTTATTACTAGATTATTAGTGTACCCAAATATGTTATGTTTTTGTTAAATAAAATCTTTGATTTACAGAGCAACACGTGGTTTGTTATTTTATCTCCAAATAATCCAATCATTACAAAACAACGATTCTATACAATACGTACAATATGGAGAAACTGCAATTTAAATTTATTTTAATGGCGGCTGCAGATGGAAAGACAAATATCATAGGCATAACCTCAATTGGCACACCGGACGGGCGCTTATATGAGGTACCTGATGACCTAAAACCCGCAAGTAAACACACTGCCGTAATATCTACTGACGTTTATGCGAAAATAAAGAATTCATTAAAAAAAAGACACCAAACACGAGCAGTATGGATCCCACTAAATGCAGAACTGACGAACGTGTATTTAGATGCTGGTAAGAATGTGCAATTCAGTGATCAATATTTAGATGAAATTTTAGAAGATACGAATGTCCCACAAAATAACATAAAATCCAATACTATACCAAAAGAAAAGAAAAATATAAGCAAAATTGCAGAAAGGTTTTTGTTAGAAAAATTTTCGAATAAAACTTCAAATGCTAACCAATGGATCAACGAATTTGAAAATGAATGTGAAAGACATGAAGTAACACAAAGTGAAGAGAAAATTGAGTTTTTGAAACATCTCCTAGAAAAAGAATGTTTAGATTGGTATGGAAGTATGTTGATTAAATTAACGGTAAACTCTGAGTGGACACTATGGAAAGACAATTTTTGTGAAACATACGGAAATAAAGGTTGGTCACAAATAAAATATGCATTCACTTTTAGATTTCAAAATGGATCCTTACTAGAATATGCTACAAAAAAAGAAAAGCTGTTATTAGAAGTTAACAAACATATTGATACACAAACAATGATAAATCTTATTGTAATAGGACTACCAAGTTATATAATGGGTAAAATTGATAAAGAATCTGTAAAATCAACTGCAAGCTTGTATAATGAAATTGGAAAATATGAATATACAGTGAACAAAAAGAACTTCTACACTTCTAAACAAGATAGCTTGAATTCTAAAGGCAAATTGGACATAAAGAAACCATGTAAGATATGTGAAAATTTAAAAAAGGTGTTCGATTTCATCCTGAAGAAAAGTGTTGGTTCAAACAAACTAATGATTATTATCAAAAGAAAAATTATAACAGAACAGTAAACCATTCGGTGATTGATGTTGAACTTAATGATAACGATTCAAAAAACGAATAACTACACCATTAATAAAAGTCAAACTGTTATTAAACAAACAAATAGAGATATTTGGAGTGTATGATTCAGGCTCAAATGTTTCAATAATTAATTCGAAGTTAGTAAGATTACGAAACGAAAAAGAATTTGATACAAAAACTGATAACCTAATAACAATTAATGGTGTGAGAAAAACAGTAGGTTTGACTACTATAAAAATAAAAATTTTTGATATAGAGGATGAAGCCGATGTTTATATAATTGATGGGGAACAATTTAAATATGATTTTTTAATTGGATTGGACATCATTAAAAGGTTTAAACTAATACAAGATGAGCATTTACAAATAAATCAGAAAAATGACAAAGATACAAAAAAAGAATGTTTCATAAATTTCAATGAACATATACAAGAAAAGGATTTTAAAATAAATATGGGTAACTTGAATACTGAACAGAAAACTCAAATATATAAACTAGTAAATTCATACAAATCAATTTTTGCCAAAGACAAATATGAT